CATGCAAGAAAATAACAGAATTAACTAACATTTCCCACGTTACAATTCAAAAACACAAGCATTTTTGCTTTCTTACTGCTCAGTCTAGCAGTACCGGTAGGCCTACAGCAACTTGTATAGTCAAATGCATTATCATTATGCTCCATGTATGATGATATGGACAATATAATTTATTTAATATACATTATAAAACAGAATCAAGTTTTAAATGAAAAAAAATATATATCAATCGTTTATTTAATATTTACAGACAGTAGAACTGAGCTGTCAAAATACTGTAGTGCCCCGTTTTCTCACTAGGTTGCGCTAGGATGCATAAGGAATTACTGAGAATCACTGTGATCTGGCTAAACTGCTCTGAGCAGTCAAAGTAGTGTACCGTGTTCTCACTAGGATGCATAAGAAATTAAGAATCACTGTGATCACTGTTTAGTGTGCACTTTAACCACTGCAGTGATAGTGATTTTCTGATCACAGTGACAAAATCACAGGTCACTGTTTATCGCTCATCACTACATGGTTGGTATCCCGTGTTGCACAGCTGTTCATTGAGCTATTTTTAAATGTCGAAAGTTGTTTTTGTTCGAATCGGTTGTATTAGTTTTTCTGAGTTGGGTTCAGAAAAAAGAAGTCTGGGCAATAAGACAATAAGAGGGAATTTTGTTTAAAGTTAACGCAAATGTCAATGTGAAAATCTGATCCTGGAAATGAAGGAATTTTTGCCGTTGTGTGCTTATTGAATCGTGCATATTCGGGCGTTGTATTCGCAACATTTTTGTAATACTTAAATGTGCATTCATGTTTTCTGCAGGGTTTTTCGAATTCACGACTGAGAGAATAAGATTTTTGAACTTGTAACATGATAAATTTTCGTATGCTGACCTATAGACCCATAGTAAACGTTTTAAGGAGGCGTGGGACGTCTTCAAAGACAAAAGCAAAGGAATGGAAGAAACCGAACTATTCACGTTTTTCGAATCCAGGAATTCAGCGACGTTTGGGAATTTTGGTACATGAAGACAAAGCCGTAACAAAACCCAGTGATGTTGACGATACCGACGATTTAGATTTTATGGAAGTAAATAAGATGCATGTTTTACATGAGAGGTAATACATTCTATTTTTTAAGATTAATCAGGTGTTTTGAGTTTACTTCATGAAGTAAGAGCATTTTATTATAACCTATGCTGTATTTATGTTATTAAATCCATAGTGGAACTCGCAAAATATACAGGCGTGCTCATAGATACTCCACCTCACTGTAGGAGTTGGTCCTGCATGATTTTTAATAATGTGAAAAGATTTGATATAAGGAAGAAAGCATTGGTTTGGGAAATTACTGGTGAAGCTTGAGATGAATAGAGTTGTGCTTGGCAGAAGGAAACATTAAATTTCTGTGACGTGTCGGTAATTTTGTATTATACCTAGAAGACTCAGCAATGGATAGGAAGTGTGAAATAATGACAGCATTGTTGCAGTGAAGAAGCAGAAGCAAAACACATGACACAACTCAAAATTGTGGGCCGTAAGTATTTCAAACCAGAGAAAGGGATAAACTTGTTGACGTGGTCTGAGAAGGAGCAGATCCGTTACCTGCATGACAGCGACCAGGATACTTGGACAGTGGAGAAATTGGCCGAGAGCTTCCCAGCATCTGAGATGATAATAATGGTGAGCTGATAATTTTCTTTTTGTAGCAGTTGTTGATTCCTGACATGATTGTGTTGGACATAGCCTATACTGTACAGGTTTATTTGATGTGTTCAACTTGGAAGTTGGTTAACTAACCAAATCCAAGATAAGAAATCACACCTGGCATTGAATTTGTATTTGTTGTGTCCAAGTGTGCAAAAAATACTTGTTGTAATTTTGCCAGTACAATTACAATGTCTGTTGTCCATTGCAAATGTATTGTGTGTCAAAGCACTGTGTGAACAACATAGGCATAAGTAGCAGGTCACTGAATTGTAAAGATGTGCCTTCATTTGTTTCATTGTTGACATGTTAGTAATTAGTCTTGAATCTCTGAGGTTAGCATGTAAAAAAATATTAAAGAAAGCTGGCTGTTGGCATTGTACATGTGAACAGTTACTTCTTTACACATGAGAACTGTTGATTTTGCTGTAATTTAAATTCCAGTGAAATGAACAGGAACTATGATTTATCAAATCAAAATGCACATTGAATGTATTTGCAATGCTTGCTGTATTTTGACACCCCCCCCCCCTTCCCAAGAAAGTGAGTGGTACCATTATATGAATTGTATATAGGGCACTGACCCTGAGTCATTTTCATTCTTTCTATCTTTGTTGTGATCTTCCAAGTGACAGCTTTTCAATAGGCTTCTTCTGCAAAATTCTGTATGCACATTTTGTCTTCTGCATGAGTGTATTTATTCAGCCCATCATAACCTTAACAGTACTAGGTAACTTGTGTAAGTCACAAAGCTCCTGAAGTGCCCACTTTTCTCACTCTGTGTGGCCCACATATTTTTATCAGCTCTTTGTTTTGATGGCAGAAGTAAATTAGTATCGTTGCAAATGGCTACTGAAAACGGAAAGGAGTGGAATGCTGATGAAGCTAACGGCTCTTGGTGTGGTGATGATCTATTTCAGAAAGTCTTGAAATCCAAGTGGCGCCCACGTGATGCAGATCGGGTGCTGAAACATGACCTTGCAGTACAGAAAAATTGGGACATGTTATGGAGTGGGAATTTGGAAGTGGACCCAGAAATGAAAGTGCATCTCTCACAGTTTACACAGAGGACAGTCCCTGCATCCCAAAGGCCTGGTAATTCCCAATTCTTATAGGGCATAGTATGCATGCAAAGCGACTGCTAAAGCATCATGTCATTGGAGGGGTGTCATTCATGTAGACTCCATGTTGTAAATATTATGGAATTAAAAATGCAGTTTCAGGTTGTGTTGTAAAACACGAGCAGCTTTGGTAATATTTTCTCTCTTTGTTCATAAGTGGTGAAGGTAGGCTGATATGACTATATACAACATGTGTATCAGTATGATGTCTGTACATGATTTCAGATATTGCCGAGATGTTTGAAGGGGCAGGCAACATACCAAAGCCTAAACAGTCAGAGTTTGGAAATATTATAGCAAGCTACCAGTCTCTGAAATGTAAGGACATTCCAGAGAATGATATTGGAGACACAGCTGTGTTGCAGAGATCATGTGACACCTCAGTAGTTCCTGAGGGCGGTTCATTTGTCCTACATGGAGGAAAGTCATATTCACAACACGGCCGCACCACACTTGAGAAATACAGGCAGAGTGTTTTGAAGGCAATTAAGAAGGGTTCTGATACAAGTTCAGATGCCAGGTTGATGGTATCGAGGCACAGCAAGTGTCAGGATGTGCCAGAGGCGGCTGAGGAAGCAAGTTCAGACGTTACCAGTACTATAGACAAGGACTGCCCTGCTGGGCTGAATTCTTCAGTGTCTAAGACAAGTCCTGACCTCACTGCAGATCCACCTGAGTGGATCCAAATTCCGGCCAGCAAGTGGCAGAAGGGAGGTACCTTCAAGGTTGGAGACTGCTACTATGATGATGACGGCACGTTCTTGTACAGGGTACCTGGCATGAAGTGAAGCATGACAGGTCTTTTCTAGTTTCCCTTTTTGCAAACTGCGTTGTTTTGAATGTGACACCTGGAATCAGATGGCGATACTGTGCTCACTAGTTATGTTCTGTTATTTTGGCTGAGAAATATGTTTGTGGTTATTTGTAAACTGTATTTGTATGCTCATTAACATATTACAATCAGTGATGTTTATGTGTGATGTCTTATGCACCTTTATTTGAATCAGCCAATGAATGTATTGGATCAAAATCGCAAAGAATATGTTATCTTGATGACAAATAAGTCACAATGATATACTTGTGTAATTTCAGACACAAACAGTGTATCACTTTCAGATGTCGGTTGAGTATGAAAATTTTGAGTGATACAGTGTTTAGTTTCTGGCATTGTTAAGCTATGTCTACACTCGTGCGCTTTTACGTTCGTCAATGGCATGCGTTATAGCACAAGCAATAGCGCACGTAACGCATGCGTCTACGCATGCCTGAAGAGAGTTGAACGGCAGCAGTTTTAGCAGCGCATGCCTCATTGCACGTGTTCCCAGCCTGAGTGGGTTTTGGTTCAACACGCCGTGCGTCTCATTCTCAAGATGGCGTCTTCTGAAGAAGAAACTTTGTTGTTTATCGACATTTACAGGTCGTTTCAACTGTTATGGGACCACAACCATCGAGACTACACTAATAAGACAAAACGTAGCGATGCTTTGACTGAGATGAGCGTTCATTACAGAGTCGATAACACCTAAGGAAAGTAACGAAGCATTGCTGAAACGAATTGCTTGGAAACTTTAAATAAATACATTAAGGACGCAAACGAATCACCGGTAGCTAAAAATCTCAGCGTTATAGCTAACTTCATCGCAACAGGTAACGCTTCTCTGAAGTGAGTGTTCTTTTTTGCGATTTTCGGCGCGACTATTTCCAAAAGCGTGTCGAAGTTTGCTCTGGACATTCGTGTAAAGTTTCTAAATAGAACCTCTTCATCGACTTCCAAATCCTTCAGAATTCCAAAATTCCGTTTCTTTAAATAATCCTTCATCCATATGCGTCTGCCATGTTCCCCTCTCCTGTTCAGAAGAATTGCCTGATAAATGGCAGCGTAGTGTGGACAGCTAGGGGCATGCCTTTGACACATTCAACAAAGGCATGCCCTAAACGAAAGTTGAATTGAATGTTGAAGCGTAAGTTGAATTGAAAGTTGAAAACGAAAGCGCACGAGTGTAGACATAGCATTAAAGAGACATTACATTACATTCCCTTAACTTACCTTACCTTACCTTACCTTACCTTTGCACTAGTGTAGACATAGCATTACATATGCCACCCCTTGGCCTCCTGAATTTTTGGATCCTTGTGTTGGCATAGGGATGAAAGGCGTCTGGTATGTTGTATGGCGTACTTTATTCGGAATCCACAGTTGGCAATTCAACGCTCAGTCTGGTTCAGCGGTGCATCACATGGTGACCTGAGGCTACACTTCACTTTGTTGGGAATATTTTGTTGGCGTCTGGACAACAGGTGCCCTGATTGTCGGCGTTGGTGAGGTAGGGTCATGTAGTATGGTATAACGTTACTAGTCGTTTTTTACGAATGTGCCAGCGTCAGAACGATAGGTTATCGTGTGCCAGGTTATGTTGGATGAGGTTAGATAATGTTTTCTTTATTTGATGTGCATGAACTGAACACATGTATGACCGGTAATGGCTGACAATGTGCGTGATTAAACCGGAGAACTTCTGTACGGATTTGAATTAAATTGGGTATTGACATGCCATTCATATCGATCCTAAATCGCGCTTTCAAATTTCCTGCGATTGGTAATACCAACGTGACGGAAGACATTTGTGAAAACTACTTCAGCTGGGAGGGCTCATTTGAATTTGCAAAGAACGCGTGTGTATTCCAGTCCTGTTCTACCGCCACGGTACAAACTACTGATTTTCTGTAAATTTCTGATCCGTACTGTAGGCTTAACCATGTCGATCCGTAAACACCGGAAAACGGCAGTTATTGCCACAGGTTTAATATAGTTGTAATCATGGATTCATACATGTGGTAACGCCAACTATTGAAATGTCGTGTTTATTAAATATGTCCTGGACAGTGTATAAAATAATAGTGGCAGTGGAGGAGAACGTTAGTTTTTGTCTGAACGTAGCAGTTTTACAACAGTTACGAATTAAAGACATTTGTTGCAACCAAGGATGAATTTCGTCACTCATTCGCGTAATTTCGCCGAGACAGCAGTCATATCTGGTAGTACAGACAAAGCCAGTATTCTTATTGCATGTTATTTTTATATTTGTTTGTTCCGTGTGCAGGTAATATACCAGTAAACGTGTTTGTCTTGTGATTCCTAGAGCCGAATAGTCTAGTGGAAGTTTACCAACGTTTCAGAGGTCCATGCTGCCTCTGTCATCAGAGAAAGAGCATTTGAAACATTGCTGAGTTTCTACCAGAATATACATCACTATAACCGAGAAAACAAGCACTTTTGTACTTGCTGCCGTGATAACTTTAAATTCTAGAAGTAAGACCAACTCAAATCCTCTTTAGGTTATCTATATGTTGCACAGCCCAGGGTTGTCATAGTAACGAAATATATTTAAACTAATGGCTGACGTGAGCTCCTTTCATAGTTGCAAATTTTTTGCGACAAATAATATAATTTGTAGCTTAATTGCGTCATGTTTGTGTTGATTAAATATATATTTATTTTCACAGTCTATACACAAACGTTGTAATTAATTGATGTTAAAATTATATAATATTAAAACATTATGTAGTATAAAATATTATATTTTGGCGCTTTTTATCGTAAATACGATATTACATTATTTAGCGCTTTTTTATTTATTAAACGACATGTTTCGATGGATAAGACCTCATCTTCAGGTTTATATCAATTTTATAATATTTTAAAATTATTAGATATTTTTATGCAATGTATTATATTGAT